CAGAGAGAAAGGAAAAACCATTAGAGGAAATAATGCACTGGAGATGAGATTTTTGAGTAGACATAAAGGAGATACCATGGCTTCAAGTGGACCACTACAGAGAGAGCACAAGTAAGAAAGGCAGCATAATTTATGAGTGTTCCAGGCAAAAGAGGGCTATATAGATTTTCTTCAGGCATTGAATTAATGCACCATATAAAATGGTTTCACATTTAAGCTTGGCAGGGCTTTATACTTTCTAGATTTGATGGGGTCCTTTCACAGTTCCTGGGGCTTTCTGGAGTTGAGGGTGCAACCACCTCGCTGGATGGGGACAGCACCACTTCCCCTGGCCTGAGGAACCCAGGCTGTCCCCAGAGCAGCTCCTCCTTCTCCTTCCTCTCCTCCTCTTTTTCCTCCTCTCCACCTTGCCAGCCAGCTCAGGGAGAGCAGAGTGGTTTGGACGTCAGAGCAATGGACCATCAGGCTGTGGTGTTTGGCAATATGAGCAGAACAAACTGTTTGGTGGGAGGTTTCATTTCCAATTTCTTTGGCAGCACCACAGGAAGGCTGGGCCGAGCTGTGGGCAGTGACACCAGGCAGAGAGCAGCCTGTGTTTGCTTTGCAGCACCTTTCATGTCCCATTGCTCTTCTGCAGCCCCCAGGTGTGCAGGGCCATGGGAGGGGGGTGGAGAGCTGCCCTGGGTGGCTGGGGACCTGCTGGGCCACCTTCCCCCCACTCAGGACCACCACTCCTCCCCACACTGGCAGCAGCAAAGGTTTCTCTCTTTGCCATGGCAAAAAGTGCCTGTGCCTTGAAAATCCCCGTGATTCTGGGACCCTCGGCGATGCCAGCAGTGCCCATTACTGTCAACAGCACAGGCAGGGCTGTTCCCAGCTCCCCTGAAGTGACTTTCTCCTCATGGCTTCAGCAGATGTTCCTGCTCCTTCGTATTTTTTTCCCCATCTTTTTTTTGTTTTGTTTTTAGGACTTTGTGAGTCGTTTCCTCCGGGGACATGGGCAGGTTTTAGTATTTACGTTTCCAGTATTAGCATTTATTTGTATTTGTGTTTGTTTTTCACGGGCTTCTGAAAGCCTCAAGGAGCCATTTATGGGGCCAAAATAATGCAAGTGCTGGTCTTCTCACAGTATTTCATTTCCTTGATGGTGGAAATGCTACAAGAAGAGCAGGTCTCATGTTATTTTGACCCCATAAATAGCTCCCAGAGGCCCCTTTCTTCCTTCTCCCACCCACTCCCCCCCAAATCAAATATTTAGGTTTCTGCAAAGCCTGACTTCTCAACCCTGGTTATCTTGCTTCAGCAGAAGCAAATTGCAGTTATTACAAAATAGCCAGAGAGTCTATAAGGCCGAATGGGTTTTATATGATGCACAATTTGTTGGCTACTGTACAAGTTCATTAAAGTGTATCATAAGAGGTTGTTTTACTGGTACATTTAAGGAAGTTAATACATCTCGACAGTATATGCATGGGGGAATGCAGATACAATAACCCTCAGACATGCTGGGGCCAAGTCCATTCCTGGCGTAACTCCACCAAAGTAAACTAACTCACTGGCTGGGCAGCAGGTCCTGCTCTGCTGGCAGGGCTGAGCCTTGATCCTGCAGGGCTGCCGCTGCTCCGGGCTCTCCTCCTGTCCCTGGCTTTCTTGCGGTGGGGGGGGGGGTGCGTCCTGCTTTTTTGCTTGTATTTTGTGTTTTTCAGCAAGCGTGTTCCCAGTGCAGAGGACACCAGTGGTCTGACCGGTTATGTGACACATCTTATTTAGGTCTAGGAAGTATTTTATCTCTTCCCAGCAGTGCCGCAGGGCTCGGCTGCTCCATCCTGGGGCGGTGGGAGGGCAGCGCTGCCTGCTCTGCCTGTCAGCAGGGACCTGCCTCTTGTGACACCAACAGCCCCACTACACCATGGCAGCTGCTTCTCTGCTTCTCGGGTCTGTCCAGGCATCAGGTCCATCAGAAATCAAACCCCCAGTTTTTTACCCCGCAACAGGAAGGGCGTCCCAGTGTAGTGGAGCCATTCCCAGGCTTGTCTGAGCTTCCCATGAGAATGGCATCAATGTTCCTGTGCACACACCTCTGCTCTGCTGGAAGATCTGGGAGAAAAGAGAATAGGTTGCACTAGACTTTATTTTATTTTTAATGAAACAGTGAGATGGAGGAAATGGACTAATTTGTGGCACTGTAGGAAAATGTGGTGACTGTGGTCCTAGGGGTCATACGTGCGGTGCAGTTAGTCCCTGGTGACCATGTAGTGGCTAATTGCAGACCGTGTGTGACCCAGCCATGCCAGGAGCCGGGCTGGGCAAGGGCAAGAGCCCCATTTCCTGAGCACAGCGGTGCTCTCTGCTGCAGCTCAGGACTTCCACAGTGCTGGCTGAGGTATCAAAATACACTGCTCGTCTGCCTCGCCGTGTAATTAGTTCCAGAGCATGCGAGTTCACCACACCAGGCTGTTTGAGAGTGCCTGGACTCATGTTCCCAAGGGGAATGTGTACGTTGACCATCTGCGGCACTTGAGATGGCAGCTCGGATGCGAGAGCTCCCCCGGATTTCAGCCTGACCCCCTTTGAACCCAAAGCAGGCTCTGTGCTGGCTGGAGGGCTGGAAAACTTCCTCTCTGGTTCCTCTTGAGCCTTTGCACCTCTTTTATGCTCTCTTTCGTCCTTCCCGTGGCTAGTTGAGGGGTTTGACATGCCAGAGAGCAGCAGGGAGGGAGCCAGAGCTGTGTGGCACAGCCGGGGTGAGACCCCAGCCCCCCGGCCAGCCCTGTGCCCACCGCTCTGCTCCCCGCTTTCTCTGTCCATCCTTTTTCCCTGGCTGGCATCAGTCTCTACAGTGCCACCCCCTGGCAGGCCCCCGCAGAGGTGACGACAAATCCTGCAGCCCCCAGAAAGCCACCTTGCGATCCCAAATTCCCCAGAACCCCATCCCAGCAGGGCAGGCAGTCCCAGCCAAGTCACCGAAGGACAGGCAGGACATGGTGTGGCTGAGGACAGGCAGGAGCTGGCAAGTCAGCCCGTGGCCCCGAGGGGAGCCCAGGGCTGCAGGGAAACAACCACCTCCTCCCCTTTCCCTCTGCCTTCTTTCCAATGGTTACTAAAAACACATTTGCCTGAAAATCAATTATAGGTTAAAAAAAGAGAGCGGGTGAAGTAGCCCCGTGAAGAGCTGAGCAGCCCAGGTGCTGTTTGGGGGACCCCCAGCCCCTCCAGTTCCCCCAGCATGGCCGTGGCTGCCCAGCGCCCTGGAGCTCTGACGTGGGACAGTTAACCCAAGCCAGCTGCGTGCTGAGGGAGATAAAAGCCCCAAATCAGACAGGATAAGCACAGTATTAGTGTGGGATACGCCACTCATTTCTGATTTCAATTACTGTTTTTACTTCCTGAACTCATGGGAGAGTAAGGATGTGAGGAAAATGAAGAGGTTTAGACATGGACATTCCTTCACAAAATACTGGCAAGATATAGTGATGAATACAGCTGAGGTCATTATCATTGCTGCTTATGGGGTGACTGGTTTACTGCTGATTTGTTTTTCATGTATCCTGGGCAGATTATCTTCACTGTGAGTTACCTCTATGGTCAAGGATTAAATCCTTTGGTAGGTGTATGCTCTCCTGGCTGTTATCCCTGTGGTGCCCAGGCAGCAAACGGGAGCTGTGCAGTGCCCAAGTGTGCCAGGCTGGGATGCTTTTTGTGGTAGCCAAGAACTGACTTTCTGCTTTTGCTGTGCACTTTGCAAATAGATACACCCTTATCTCAGGGGCCCATTGCAGCAAAAGGACTGCTGTGGTGTTTATAAAAAATTAAATATCCCCATGTGAGACAGAGGTGTGTAAATGGCAGAGGTGCAGTAATATTTAGTAGAGAGTGGGCACTGCTGCTCCAGCTTCTGCATCTGCAGCTCCATCCCCACCCAGGCAAAACTTCCACTGCAGGTCCAGGACAAGCTGCTGGTCCACTCTGGGGCTTTGCTTCCCCATGCCTTACAGGCACAACACCACAGCATGCACCAAATGAGAGAGTTTTTTATCTTTCCCCTTTGGCAGCAGAGGAATTTGTCCCAAGCTGCTGTCCCTGCTGGTACAGGCTGCCCAGAAGCAGCCGACGGAAGTCGCGCTTGGGGCTGCGCATTGTGACTTACCAGAATATTTTCTTGTAGCCTGTCACTGCGTGTCTGGGAGAGGATTCCTAGCCCTGGACATGGGGCTCTGCCTAATCTCAGTGCTGCGTGCTGGTGCTGAGTGCTGGTCGAGGTGACGGTGCCCAGCAGCACTGCTGCACGCTGCCACTGAGTCAACTGCTGGGTTCAAGTGGCTCACAGAGAGGCCACGGTTAGGAACGATGCTCTGCACACACAAAAATCCTCGTGTTTCGAGATTAGGGAGCAAGAAGGGCTTTGGGGAGGTCAGTGAGGGGAGGAGGTGTCTGGATGTGTGTGACCAGGAGAGGGAGAGTCGTGGTCAGGCCTGCTTTCTCTTTTGCTTTGAAGCACAGTTCAGGCACGCAGGAAAGGGGATATTTTCTCTTTGGCTCAAAAAAGCAGAGTTATTTCTGTCCATTTGTGCAGGATAAAGGGTTGTGGAAAGTCCCTGGTGTTCCTAAGATGGAGAACAGCAGTGGTTATGTACTGCGGGTAACTGGTGCTGCTCCCCCTTCCCCACCATCTCAGTCCAGGCATGAGCATCCCCACTATCAAGTCCTGCTATGTTTTAAGTTCTGCAGCCTCCTCCCAGGAAAGGGGCCACTCTGCCAGGCAGCGTTTCATGTCCCTGCCCAACCCCACAGGCTTGCCTGAGCTGTGGGCCCAGCAGAGAAGTAGACCCAGGGGCTGGGATGCCTCAGGAGAGATTCAGTAATCCCCCTGGAAAAGATGGATGACAAGCAAGTGCAGCATTAGAGCAATGATACAATAAACAGATTTGTCACTGAAGCACCATCTAACTCCAGCTTTGTCTGAAGTACTAATGAGGACCTCCTCTCTCTTCCCATTGCAGAGCTTCAGCGAGAGGGAAGCATAGAGACGCTCAGTAACAGCTCCGGCTCCACCAGCGGCAGCATCCCGCGCAACTTCGATGGCTACAGGTCTCCCCTCCCGACTAACGAAAACCAGCCCCTCAGCCTCTTCCCCACGGGATTCCCTTAAATTACCTGGACATCCAAGGGGAGATCCAGACAGGGTAACGAGCCTCCTCTCTGCCTAAACAATCCCAATGTGTCTGTCACCTGCGAGCCCACTGCTGCGCTGGATGGTTCTCGTTACCCTGATCAATATTGACGGCTCTTAAACCTTCCTGAAACATACTCACAAGATCTTGACTTTGTGTTCCTGTGCAATATGAAGAGACTCCGTCTCCAATCCCAATATCTCCGCGGCTTCTATTTTCGCTGTGTTCAGGAAGAGGTTGATTGAGGAGAAATATTTCTAAGCCATTTTTGGGCAAGCACATGATTTCACAACCGTGCTCTGCTTTTTTTCGTGTTGAGAGAACGAAGGGAATCTCGGTAACTCAGAGGAGCTCTTGCCATTTGCAAAAGTGCTGAGCATTAACAAATGAACTGGAGTGAGTGGAAACTGGAGGACTTTCTGTGGACAGGGTTGATAATGTTACTCTATTCCTTCCTCATTGCATCTCCTTGCTGCCCCCCTTCCCAACTGATACTCATCAATGCCAGGAGTATTACAAATGGAAATGTTTCTTTTTGTTCTTTGGAAGAATTATCTCTATTGCTCCGGTTTTCTTCTAGTCATGTATTTTAGAAAAGTACTTAATTGACTAACTGCAGCCACAAATTTCTCCTATTTGGGTATAAAACTTGTTCATTGGAACTCAGCTATCTGTCCAGAAATGCATGTGTCATTGAATAAATCTAAGTTAAACAACAAACTGTTTAAATGGCAGTGTTCATGGAATGTTGCTGGGCTTTGTATATCTTCCTGGACCAGACCGTGCGTGTATTTACTAACTGGAGGGCTTTAATTAAAGCCATCAGTGGATGTTATGTGGCCAGTCTAGCTTGGTTTTGCATCTCTGCTTTCTCCTCCCTGTGTGCAACGGCAGGATTTTTAATAGTGGGTGACTTTGATAGTGTTCTTCCACCCATTCAGCTCCTCTGAACATCAGCACCTATCTCTGTTCATGTGTCTGACCCCAGCTCCAGCTCCTTGTGTTGCTTGGGGCCCTATTTCTTCGTCCCACTGATTTCAGTGGGATGAGGACCAGGCAGTAGAGACACCCTCCTGAAGCTGTTGTGTTACAGGATCACATCGAAGAGGCTTTGCAGAACCCCTATAACAGGCTGACCCTGCATACTCAATGTGTGCAGTCAAAATGAGCACCACATAACTCTGCTGATAAAATAGTCATGGGCTCACACATAGTAGCCACATGAATTCCGATATCTCAGCCAACTTGTGTCAAGAAGCAGAGAGTGAGATGGGACAGTCAGCTCATGAAATTTCCTTCCCACTCCTTGTTTTGAATAGAAGGCATTTGAGTCATGGCAATGAGAGGAAACTATCTAAACCCACAAATCTTTTCACACTCTTATAGCTTTAACCAGCCCCACTGAGTGATGCAGGACTGACCACCCTCTTCTTCCTCTATCCCCAAATACCAAATTCAGTCTAGGGCTTCATTTTTTTGTCTGTTTATAACTGTAATGCCACGACTCAGATGTCAGAAGGTTTTTTTTTCCTCTCTTTCTTCAGGCTTGAAACCGCTAGTAAAAACAGAGAGTCTGCAGCAATAATTTCAGTTTCTTGCTTGGTTTTCAGTCAGTCCTTTCTCAAGAAAACAAAACAAAACAACAACAACAAAAAAAAAATCTAACTCCAGCTTTGTCTGAAGTACTAATGAGGACCTCCTCTCTCTTCCCATTGCAGAGCTTCAGCGAGAGGGAAGCATAGAGACGCTCAGTAACAGCTCCGGCTCCACCAGCGGCAGCATCCCGCGCAACTTCGATGGCTACAGGTCTCCCCTCCCGACTAACGAAAACCAGCCCCTCAGCCTCTTCCCCACGGGATTCCCTTAAATTACCTGGACATCCAAGGGGAGATCCAGACAGGGTAACGAGCCTCCTCTCTGCCTAAACAATCCCAATGTGTCTGTCACCTGCGAGCCCACCGCTGCGCTGGATGGTTCTCGTTACCCTGATCAATATTGACGGCTCTTTAACCTTCCTGAAACATACTCACAAGATCTTGACTTTGTGTTCCTGTGCAATATGAAGAGACTCCGTCTCCAATCCCAATATCTCCGCGGCTTCTATTTTCGCTGTGTTCAGGAAGAGGTTGATTGAGGAGAAATATTTCTAAGCCATTTTTGGGCAAGCACATGATTTCACAACCGTGCTCTGCTTTTTTTCGTGTTGAGAGAACGAAGGGAATCTCGGTAACTCAGAGGAGCTCTTGCCATTTGCAAAAGTGCTGAGCATTAACAAATGAACTGGAGTGAGTGGAAACTGGAGGACTTTCTGTGGACAGGGTTGATAATGTTACTCTATTCCTTCCTCATTGCATCTCCTTGCTGCCCCCCTTCCCAACTGATACTCATCAATGCCAGGAGTATTACAAATGGAAATGTTTCTTTTTGTTCTTTGGAAGAATTATCTCTATTGCTCCGGTTTTCTTCTAGTCATGTATTTTAGAAAAGTACTTAATTGACTAACTGCAGCCACAAATTTCTCCTATTTGGGTATAAAACTTGTTCATTGGAACTCAGCTATCTGTCCAGAAATGCATGTGTCATTGAATAAATCTAAGTTAAACAACAAACTGTTTAAATGGCAGTGTTCATGGAATGTTGCTGGGCTTTGTATATCTTCCTGGACCAGACCGTGCGTGTATTTACTAACTGGAGGGCTTTAATTAAAGCCATCAGTGGATGTTATGTGGCCAGTCTAGCTTGGTTTTGCATCTCTGCTTTCTCCTCCCTGTGTGCAACGGCAGGATTTTTAATAGTGGGTGACTTTGATAGTGTTCTTCCACCCATTCAGCTCCTCTGAACATCAGCACCTATCTCTGTTCATGTGTCTGACCCCAGCTCCAGCTCCTTGTGTTGCTTGGGGCCCTATTTCTTCGTCCCACTGATTTCAGTGGGATGAGGACCAGGCAGTAGAGACACCCTCCTGAAGCTGTTGTGTTACAGGATCACATCAAAGAGGCTTTGCAGAACCCCTATAACAGGCTGACCCTGCATACTCAATGTGTGCAGTCAAAATGAGCACCACATAACTCTGCTGATAAAATAGTCATGGGCTCACACATAGTAGCCACATGAATTCCATATCTCAGCCAACTTGTGTCAAGAAGCAGAGAGTGAGATGGGACAGTCAGCTCATGAAATTTCCTTCCCACTCCTTGTTTTGAATAGAAGGCATTTGAGTCATGGCAATGAGAGGAAACTATCTAAACCCACAAATCTTTTCACACTCTTATAGCTTTAACCAGCCCCACTGAGTGATGCAGGACTGACCACCCTCTTCTTCCTCTATCCCCAAATACCAAATTCAGTCTAGGGCTTCATTTTTTTGTCTGTTTATAACTGTAATGCCACGACTCAGATGTCAGAAGGTTTTTTTTTCCTCTCTTTCTTCAGGCTTGAAACCGCTAGTAAAAACAGAGAGTCTGCAGCAATAATTTCAGTTTCTTGCTTGGTTTTCAGTCAGTCCTTTCTCAAGAAAACAAAACAAAACAACAACAACAAAAAAAAAACTTCCTCAGGATGAAATCAGAGGAGAGTTCGCCCATAAGTAAGTACTCACAGCACTGGCCCCCTGGCTATATCAGCTGTAGTTCTACTTTTCTTTTTTGTCTGTAAAATAATGACTTGAAGTGAGGGGCTGAGGGCAGGGCTGGCACTGCGGACAAATGGGACCGCAGGGTCAAGTCAGTCCACACCAGTCAGGATTTTTAACACGGTTCAAGCCAAGGTCGGCTCCAAAAGTTCAAACAAAATCCAGATTAACACATACAGAAGGGATTGTGTTGTCACCGTGATGCTTGTTTCTTTTCAGGCTTTCCAAGGAATGGCCATCAGGGACAAAGTTCTTGTAGAGGAAGGTGACTGCTCTTCTCCCTCCTGCCCCTCGGCTGCTGGTTCGTACTGCACACACGGAGTAGGATAGTGCAGAACACAGAGTGGTGTCATTGGAAATGTATTTGTTGTTGGCAGGCATTAAATCACTTTTTATAAGTGCTGCAATACGGCCATGTGGAAATTCCCAGTCTGCAAGAAGCTCCTTTGAATCAGGATGTTTTGTTTAAAGGAGGCGGGGTCGGAGGGGAACCTACAAACTGGGGCTGTACCAAAATATTTTCAGTCTGGTTCATTGAAAAGAATGTCCTAGATTCTCTGCTGTTGGTAGCCCTTTAGCCACACTGTTAAGAATTCCTGGAGCCTAAAAAAAAAAAAATAATCAAGCACTGCTATGAGGTTGCTAATTTAATTTGATACTTTCACAGATGAACCAGCAGAATAACCACCAAGTTCCAGCTCTTCAGTGAGCCAGTGAAAGCTGAGTGTGTTGCAATTATAGGGTCCAATTCAGCAATAACTCTGTGGGGCCCGATTCAACACATCCCCATGAAACACCATCTCTCCTCCACCTTACTCTCAGCAGCAATATTCTTTTCAGGCACCAGGGAAAGAATATTGTTGCTCCTTGCTGGTATCTAGAAGCTGCTCCTAAGGGAGGTTTGCCCCTGACTTTAATGCAACCAGGGTTTCAATTGAGGGATCTGATCCAAACACCACTTAAAGCAAAAATAGCCAGAGGCTCATGCTCTTCGTGGGATTTTGGACCAGTGTCTCCTGTTGTTGTGGAAATAACCCAGGTGAGTTGCTGAAATGCTGGGTTTTCAAACACAGTGGCTGGCAAGCAGTCACAGGCAGCCCAGCAAGAATGTTGTGCCATGATATAAACCACTGGCTCAGAAAGAGCCCAAAAGACACGCTGGACTTGTAGGTTTTCAAACTGTTTCCAGTAGTAGTAAGCAGTGGCCTCCTGCTGAGTTCAAAAGGCAAAGCATCTCATTTCAAGCAGGATGGGCTGTATATCACTCTGGGCATAAAGTGGAGCTCTTCTATTAAAAGTTGAGTTCAGATTTCATGAATTAACATGAAATATTGCTTTCTTATCCTA